TAGTTTTGGGTTTATATTTAAACCTTTATCCGTCTTGAGTTTTTCTTTTTTTGTTTGGTTGTTTTTTTTTGCATATGGTGTTGAGGAAAGGGTCCAACTGTCTGTCATGCTGCATTGTGGCCTAACCCGTAATCCTGGCACCATTGACTTAACAGTGACGTGTTGTGTTCCTGACATGCGTGGATTTTTGTCAGCTCGTGTGTAGACATCAAATGAGTTGCAGTGTGTGCAACGTGTTTATGGGGGCTATCTCTTCTGTTCCATTGGGCTATGTGTCTGTTTTCATACCAGTACCATGCTGTTTTGGTTACTGTAGCCTTGTTGTATAGTTTGAAGTCAGGTAACATAATGCCTCCAGCTTTGTACTTTTTGCTTAGGATTGCCTTGGCTATTTGGGCTTTTTCTTTTTTGGTTCCATATGAATTTTAAAATAGTTTTTTTCTGGTTCTGTGAAGAATGCCATTGGCAGTTTGATAGGAATAGCATTGAATCTGTGAATTGCTTTGTGCAGTGTGGCCATTTTAATGATATTGATTCTTTCTGTCCATGAGCATGGATTTTTTTTTCCCATTTGTTTTTATCTTCTCTGATTATTTGAGCAGTCTTTTGTAATTCTTATTGTAGAGATCTTTCACCTTCCTGTAACCCTAGGTATTTTATTCTTTTTCTGGCAATTGTGAATGGGATTGCCTTCCTAATTTGGCCCTTGTCTCGGTTGTTGTTGGTATATTGGAATGCTAGTGATTTTTGAACATTGATTTTGTATACTGAAACTTTGCTGAAGTTGTTTATCTCTGGAGGAGCTTTCGGACTGAGAATATGGGGTTTTCTAAATGTAGGATCATGTCATCTGCAAACAAGGGTAATCTGACTTTCTCTCTTCCTATCTGGATGTTCTTTATTTCTTTCTCTTGCCTGATTGCTTTGGCCAGGACTTCCAATACTATGTTGAATAGGAGTGGTGAGAGAGGGCATCCTTTTCTTGTGCTGGTTTTCAAGGAGAATGCCTCCAGCTTTTGCCCATTTACTGTGATGTTGGCTGTGGGTTTGTTAGATAAGCATTTTGTTTTTCTTAATTTATTTTAATTAAATAATTTATTTTTTAAGAGATATGTCTCAGCCAAGCGCAATGGCTCACGCTTGTAATCCCAGCACTTTGGGAGGCCGAGGTGAGCGGATCACGAGGTCAGGAGTCCGAGACCAGACTGGCCAACATAGTGAAACCCTGTCTCTACTAAGAATACAAAAATTAGCCAGGCGTGGTTGTGCAAGCCTGTAATCCCAGCTACTCAGGAGGCTGAGGCAGGAGAATTGCTTGAACCCGGGAGGTGGAGGTTGTGGTGAGCTGAGGTCATGCCACTGCACTCCATGCACTCCAGCCTGGGCAACAGAGCAAGACTCCATCTCAAAAAAAAAAAAGAGATATGTCTCACTCTGTCACCTAGGCTTAAGTGCAGTGGCATGATCTAGCCTCCAGAGTAGCTAGAACTACAGGGACATGCCACTGCCGTCAGCCAAATGGAGCTTTTTAAAGAAATATACCTTCCTTTTTTTTCAATATGACTTTTTATTATTTATTCATTTATTTATTTATTTATTTTTTTGAGACAAAGTCTCGCTCTGTTGTCCAGGCTGGAGTGCAGTGGTGTGCGATCTCAGCTCACTACAACCCCCACCTCCTGGGTTCAAGCGATTCTCCTGCCTCAGCCTCCGGAGTAGCTGGGATTGCAGGTGCCTACCACCACGCCCGGCTAATTGTAGTATTTTTAGTAGAGACAGGGTTTCACCATGTTGGCCAGGCTAGTCTCAAACTCCTGACCCCAGGTGATCCATCCGCCTCGGCCTCCCAAAGTGCTGGGATTACAGGCGTGAGCCACCAAGCCTGGCCCCTTATGACTTTCTACATAAAAGTTACTAGTAAAGATTCTGTAGTGGGTGAATCTGCAATGGATGAAGATGTTTTGGAGTGAAGCTGAATTGGTCTTTTGAATTTATTAGAAATATTGTACACAAAGAGCCCAGTAGGTAAAAGACCACTCAGCTAAAGTTTTCTGATAATTTTCATGGTCTGCCTGAAATAGAATGTGTTGTAGCACATGACTCTTCAAAACCATGTTTGCTTTCATAACAAAGATTGAAGGTAATTAGCTGGGTTTTCTTTAAATAAGAAAAGTAATATTAACATTTTCATTGTCAGATTATATGAACTGAAAATATTTTTTTAGGTACCAGGGGGACTAAGCTAAGAAGCGAGAAAATAAATGAGACTGTACTATGCTTGGGAAACATAGTTTCAAAATTAAGAGGATATTCGACAGATCAGTCTAAATTATGAAACTTGTATATGATTGAATAACTTATAAAAACTTATTTGTGTTTAATTTTGATTTAAAAATAACCACAGCACTCATTTTCTAAGAATGAATAAAATATTTTTCATACCCCCAATCCTAAAAGTTAGAAAATATATATATACATATTTTTTTCACAGATATTTAATCTTATTATAAGGGGTAAAGAATTTAAAACAGTATTATTACTGTTGCCTTTTAATGTCCAGCAGGGTTTTTTATATTGTTTTGGTTTTGTCTTTTTTTAGATTAAGTAGCATTGTCAAATATTGGGAGCTAATACCGAGTGGTAGTTTAAAGGAGTCAGATTGCTTGAGTTTCAATTATAGCCTACCACTAAATAGCTCTGTGTAACCTTCTATGAGTTTTGTAACCTCTGTGTGACAGTTTCCTCATTTATAAAATGTATATACTTGATATACACATGATGAGGATTAAATGAGGTAATACATCCAAAGTGCTGCCATTTCGTATGCACTGAGCACGTGTAAACAGTTATCATCAGAGTTTGCAGTTGCTGTTTCATGCTAAAGTGGTAAGAGTTATGGCAGGATATTTTTATCTCAAGAAACTTGTTAAACACTGGGGAAGGAAGGAAACAATTCCCATTCTTGATTTCTGGGAACTATTTATGATTATATTAATATTTAAAGCATTCTAGTTTGTTGAAGTTTTATCCCCCAACATTAAATTTTTTTTTTTTTTTTTTTTTGAGACAGAGTCTAGCTCTGTTGCCCAGGCTGGAGTGCAGTGGCCGGATCTCAGCTCACTGCAAGCTCCGCCTCCTGGGTTTTTGCTATTCTCCTGCCTCAGCCTCCCGAGTAGCTGGGACTACAGGTGCCCGCCACCTCACCCGGCTAGTTTTTTTGTATTTTTAGTAGAGACGGGGTTTCACTGCATTAGCCAGGATGGTCTCGATCTCCTGACCTCGTGATCCGCCCGTCTCGGCCTCCCAAAGTGCTGGGATTACAGGCTTGAGCCACCGCGCCCGGCCAACATTAAATTTTTAAAAAATTTTTTTTCAAATTTATATTTGCATTTTTTCAAATGGCCCTTTTTTTTTGAGGCAAGGTTTTGCTCTGTCACCCAGGCTGGAGAACAGTAGCATGATCTGGCTCACTGCAGCCTCGACCTCCCAGCCTCAAGTGATCCTCCCATCTGAGCCCCCAGAGTAGCTGGTACTACAGGCACATGCCATCACACTCAGCTAATTTTAAAAATTTTTTGTAGAGACAGGTAGCCCAAAGGGTTCAAGTGATCCTCTCACCTTGACCTGCCAAAGTACTGGGATTACAGACATGAGCCACTGTGTCTGGCCTCAAGTAACTCTCTTAGAAGTTGGAATGCAGTCCCTATCAAGCATAAGCAATATTTTCATGTTTTATCTAGCAAAAGAGGAGTCTGGGAAAGTGGGTTGGAATGATTAAGGATTGTTACCTGCATTAAAGAAGACAGCAGACTTTGGATAAAACAATAAAACCGTGTTAATAGGAGAGTAGTATGTTAAGTAATAAAATTTATGTGGTGCTGGTGGAAGTCTGATGCTTCCAGACTTCCAAAAAAGTCTGGAAGCATCAGATAGACTTAATTTCAAATACTGTATTAGCTATACTTTCAAATGATAGGTCTAAAAGTTTTTTTTCAACTTCATATGCCTTTTTAGTTGATATTCCTCTAAATTTGATAGAGTAGGTTCAGTTGTTAAACTGAAAAAAAGTACAGTAAATATGTTATTTTCCCTGTGTTTTCAGACTTTTGAGGCACTTCATAGTATAGTTCTTTATGAACCATAGAGGCTATATATAAATGCTGAGATGCAAAAATAAATCCTATTTAAGTAGACATTTATCAAGTTACCTTTTTTTTCTTTTTTTTGGAGACAGTCTTGCTCTGTCACCCAGGCTGGAGTACAGTGGTGCGATCTCGGCTCACTGCAACCTCTGCCTCCCAGATTCAAGCGGTTCTCCTGCCTCAGCCTCCTGAGTACCTGGGATTACAGGTGCGTGCCACCACGCCCTGCTAATTTTTGTATTTTTAGTAGAGACGAGGTTTCACCACATTGATCAGGCTGGTCTCGAACTCCTGACCTCGTGATCTGCCTGCCTCGGCCTCCCTCCCAAAGTGCTAGGATTACAGGCATGAGCCACCACTCCCGACCAACAAGTTACCATTTTTAAACTAAGGAAAATGACTTTAAATATAAGACAAATGATTGCCACACAAATAGGTCAAACATGTATAAATAATACAGTAAGTGGCAAAAGGTAAATGTATTACGTCCAGACAGACTTGTTCAGACTACCAAGTAATTAGACTTCATCCATGGGTAGTGATTAAGACTGTTGGTGATTAAGACCCTAGGATTAGGGTCAAACTGCCTGTTTTTAATCCTGGCTTCACCACTTATAAGTTGTGAGACCTTGGAAAAAAATGTTTATGTGCCTCAATGTTTTCATCTATAAAATGGTGGAAATCAGAATCCACCATAGAGCTAGGTATGTGTTTAATAATTTATTTAATTAATAATTTTTGTTAAATCAGTCTAGGCATATGCATTTGATTTTTTTTTTTTTTTTAATGCTTCCAAGATGATTGTTGCCAGCCCAACAGAAAACAGACAGGTACTTCGTGTAATTCCATCTACCCAGACAGCAATGGCACAAGTGATTATACCTCAGGGGCAGCTTGTGGATGTGAATAGTCCTCGGGGTGAGTAACAATGGGATATAGTCCTCAGGGTGATATGTAGGGGATTTGAGAGTGTTTTAAAAACATAAATATTTTAGAAAAATCATCTTATGAAAGTCAGTGCTAAAATTGATCTCCTTAGGTAAAAGATTACGAATTAAATAATTAGAAAACAGCTCTTCACCCAAATAAATTTAAAGTTCATTTTTCAACTCCTGTCTAGATTAGCTATTTGATTTAAGAATTCTATGAAGCCGGTTGACTCGTGCTTCCTCCTAAATGACCAGTGAGCATAAAATAAATTCTTCTAAATTATAACAGTAATAATAACAGCAACAATAGCAAGAATATAATGCTAATAGCTTCAGAAGTTTTTATTTATATCTTTCTTTTTTTTTTTTTTAGGCACAGTCTCACTCTATCCCCTAGGCTGGAGTACAGTGGTGGCATGATCTCAGCTCACTGCAACCTCTGACTCCCAGGTTCAAGCAATTCTCCTGCCTCAGCCTCCTGAGTAGCAGGGATTACAGATGCCTGCAACCACGACTGGCTAATTTTTATATTTTTAGTAGAGCCGGGGCTTCACCATGTTGGCCAGACTGGTCTCGAACTCCTGACCTTGGGTGATCCACCCGCCTCCGCCTCCCAAAGTGCTGGGATTACACATGTAAGCCACTGTGGCTGGCCATTTATATCTTTATCAATATTTTTATTAGCCATGTGACTCATTACTTTTTTTTTTTATACTATCCTTTTTATCCTCTTGCTCTTTTCCTCTTTCCTTGGCCCCTTCAGATTCAGAAAAGAGAATCATGCTCCCTATTTCTCCTTATATAGTCTTTACCTGTTTGATAATATGCCTATTAGTTCTCTTTTTTTTTTTTTTTGCTTTCCTCCCTTTTCCCTCAATTTGAATCTCTTTTCTAACCTCATAGCTATACTGTTTTGTTGCTGCTTCATAGCTAATGGTTTAGGGCAGATATTTTCACCTTAGTGTTATCATTCTTTGTTAATAGTCATTAGGACATGAAGAGAAAAACAAAGATTGCAGAAAACATTATGAGTATGAGCACAGTATATAGACAAAATTAGTTTTACATTTTCCTATATATTGCAGAACTCTTAAGATACAATTATTTCTACCACTTTTATATCCTGGCTGTTCAATATAAATTCTAAAAATTATAAAATTCCAGTAGTCAGTATTATAATTTAAAGTAAACAGGTATCAGAGAAATTCTCAATAAAGCATTATTCGTTTATTCTCAATAAAGCGTAAATTTTCTTTACCTATTACAAATACGTAAGTTTTAGTTAGGTATATTCTTATGGTCTTATTCAAGATATTGATGTTACTTTGTTCTTGTTTTTGTTGTTAAGATGTCCCTGAAGAGAAACCCAGTGACAGAAACTTATCAACTGTAAGGGTGGATACTCTAGCAGACAATACCAGCAATTACATTCTTCATCCTCAAACGTCCTTCACATTGCCCAAAAAGTCAGTGACCAGGTAAGTCCATGGGAAAGAGAAGCTCATCTTTTAACATCACCATGGAAATCTTTTTTACAAATTACACATTTAAAGCTGGCTGACTATAGAGAAAATCAGAAAATAGAAGGAACTATCATTGAATATATCTTTAGTTATTTTAAGGCATCTGGGTCATAAGGAGGCTACTTTGGAAGCTATAAATGTCAAAAGTGCTACTTTTCCTCAGTGACATCTGTTATCTTTTGAAACAGTATGAAAATTGTATTAGTTCATTTAGTCTGACACTAACAGACTTTTTAGAATAAAGAAACATTCATGGCTAGGCACTGTGGTTCACGCCTGTAATCCCAACACTTTGAACACTTTGGGAGGACAAGGCAGGTAAATCATGAGATTGGGAGTTCAAGACCAGCCTGGCCAAGATGGTGAAACCCGTCTCTACTAAAAATACAAAAATTAGCTGGGTGTGGTGGTGGGCGCCTATAATTCCAGCTCCTTGGGAGGCTGAGGCAGAGAATTGCTTGAACCCGGGAGGCGGAGGTTGCAGTGAGCTGAGATTATACCACTGCACTCCAGCCTGGGCAACAGAGCGAGACTCCATTTAAAAAAAAAAAAAAAGCCAGATGTGGTGGCTCATGCCTGTAATCCCAGCACCTTGGGAGGCCAAGGTGGGCAGATCACGAGGTCAGGAGACAGAGACCATCCTGGCTAACACAGTGAAACCCTGTCTCTACTAAAAATACAAAAAAAAAAAATAATTAACTGGGCGTGGTGGCATGCGCCTTTAGTCCCAGCTACTTGGGAGGCTGAGGCAGGAGAATGGCGTGAACCTGGGAGGCGGAGCTTGCAGTGAGCGGAGATTGCGCCACTGTACTCCAGCCTGGGTGACAGAGTGAGACTCTGTCTTGAAAACAAAAACAAAAACGAAAAAAAACATTCATTATGGTTCCTAAAGTTTTAAAGGTGTTTTATCACATTTTTATGCATAGAATTCCTCTGTGGTAAAATGTTTAAAATGTTTTTTGCCAACTTTTTTTTCAGTTTTTGTTTTTGTTTTAAAATAATACTATGATATTTTAGGGAAATATGTACATGGCTTATGTATTGTTTATATTATTTTAATTGTTCCATAAAAGTATTTTTGAATTAAGATATTATTTTTGACATTTAATCTTAGAACTTAATATTGTTACTTTTCACTTGATCTTAGCCAAAAGGCCAAGAAGTGACACATAATGTTACTTTAAACTAGTCAAATTTAACATTTTTTTGATAAATGAAAACAGTTATATATTAAGAGCACAAAATAAGCTTTGGGAGAGATATATAAAACACTTGAATTTGTTGGGACTACATGTATCTGGAAGAACAAACTTAGGTCTTTGACTTAGTAGTTAATAAAATAGTAATTGTTAAAGAAAATAATAACTAATGCACCCATCAGACCAATCTGTAGTTATTGTTAAAACTTCTTATTGATGACCTCAATATTTGTCTTTGATACTAAGAGGATAAAGCAGTTGAATGCATTTTGTGTGTTCATTGAACTGCATGTTTATATATATTCCTCTCCTATCCCAGAATGCTGGAAGAACCCCTTCTGGCGCCTCTTCAGCCACTTTCTTCTAACACACCTATATGGGCCTGCCGTCTTAGGAGCTGTGAGGTGAGTTAAAAATAATTATTACCTAGAATTACTTACCTGCTTATAACCACAGGTCATCCCCAAATGCCACTTTTGAGTACAACTAATATAGGCTATATTTACAATATTTTGTTTGTGTTTTTGTTAAATCTGATTTCATGTATTGTTGAATTATTAGAGATTCTAAGCTTTGTTAAAGCAGAGGTTATATAAATCTGTTTACATTTCACTATTATTTCTTCTCTTGCAACTCTCTTCCCTCATAGTCCATGAAACTTCACTATCATGTTTCTCTACTATTAACTTTTCAACCATTTCTTTTCTTTCTTTGCTTGCACTTTTTTTTTTTTCATATTATCAGTAGAAAATTCTTTAAGGCTCACTTTCTGACTTTGTCTTTTTTCTCTCTGTATTTTGTCTTTTGGAGCACTTACCTACTTTGTTGACTTTCAACTCATATCTATAAAAATGATTTCCAAGTCCGTATCACCAGTTTTTATATTTATTTATTTATTGAGACGGAGTCTCACTCTGTGCCCCAGGCTGTAGTATAGTGGTGCAATCTGAGCTCACTGCAACTTCTGCCTCTTGGGTTCAAGCGATTTTTGTGCCTCGGCCTCCCAAGTAGCTGGGACTACAGGCATGTGCCACCACACCTGGCTAATTTTTTGTATTTTTAGCAGAGATGGGATTTCACTATGTTGGCCAGACTGGTCTCGAACTCCTGGGGTGATCCACTCACCTCGGCCTCCCAAAGTGCTGGGATTACAGGTGTGAACCACTGTACCAGGCCAGATTTTGAATTCTGCCTTCCTCTTGTCCCAGATATCTGGCTACTTGCTTGAAGGTTTATTTGAATTTCACCTCAAATTCACCATATCCCATACTGAAATCATCTACCATGCCACAATTGGCTCCACTTCCAAAATTCCATGTCTGTGTAATGACAAATACCATTTCCTTAGATACCCGGGCATAAAGTTTTGTACTAATTTCTTCCTTTCCCACATTTGGTAGTCACCAGATTCTTTTTTTTTTGAGACGGAGTCTCACTCTGTCATGTAGGCTGGAGTGCAGTGGCGCTGTCTCAGGTCACTGCAACCTCCGCCTCCCAGGTTCAAGCAATTCTCCTGCCTCAGCCTCTTGAGTAGCTGGGACTATTTGCATGTGCCACCATGCTCAGCCAATTTTTGTATTTTTAGTAGAGACTGAGTTTTGTTATGTTTGCCAGGCTGGTCTCGAACTCCAGACCTCAGGTGATCCTCCTGCCTCAGCCTCCCAAAGTGCTGGGATTACAGGTGTGAGCCACTGCACCCTGAAGTAGTCACCAGATTCTTTTAGTTTTTCCTTTAAAGTATCTTTTTCTTTTTGGCCCATTTTTCATTAGGCCTTTGTCCTCTTGTGCTTGATTACAGGAATAGCCTGCCCCCTAACATCTTTGACTCTCTCATTTCTGGTCCCTAATGTATATTTTTCTAAGGCTACTTGTATTTGAAGATTGTTTTAATTGTCTTTTCTCAGTGCCCAATTAAGTTGTGTTATTTTTTCCACATTATTTAGCCACTGTAGCTAGTTTCAAAGGCCTTTCATAATCTGGTATCATCCTACCTTGTCCTACTTTATTTCCTACTTTTCTCAAACTCATCTTCATTCTTGTTAGCCTAGTCTTCCTACTTTCGACAGATACTCCAGAATTTTTTTTTAGCTCTCCCTTTACCCATTTGTATTTCCTTTTCGTATATGTTACTTTTTTCTTCTACTTACCATTTCTAACTATTCTTCAAATCCCAATGCAAGTCCTACATATCTTTTGTATAAATTATCTAATGATTATTTTAGCCTTTACCTATTTCTCTCTTTAAATTCTTTAGTATTAATTGTCATTCTTAATTATTTACTAGCTTAGGCCGGGCGCCGTGGCTCACTTCTGTAATTCTAGCACTTTGGGAAGCCAAGGCAGGCGGATCGCTTGAAGTCAGGAGTTTGAGAGCAACCTGGCCAATGTGACAAAACTTCATCTCTGCTAAAAATACAAAAATTGGCCGGGCGTGGTGGTGGGCAGGAGAATCACTTGAATTTAGGAGACAGAGGTTGCAGTGAGCCAACATCACACCACTGCATTCCAGCCTCCATAACAGAGTGAGACTCCATCTCAAAAAAAAAACAATTTAAAAATAAAATTATTTACTAGCTTGGGTTGTTCACTGTTACGTAACATTCACACTTTTTGAGGAAAGGGACCATGCCTACTCTATATACAAACCATAGATGGTAATGAATATTTAACTATCAGAATGCTTCATTGTTTTAAACAAATCTTAAAATGTGGGAAAGGAAAATATTCTTTGTATTTTAATGTTTTGAGAAAATTTCTTATGAAAAACCTTGTGCTATATGTATTACATTTGTTAGGACATTATCGTTGTTGCTTTTCTAAGTAGAATGCGTGTATGTATATACATATATATGTGTGTGTGTGTGTGTGTGTTTAGGTTTTTCTCCCCCTACCTTTTGTTAGTCATAGTTTTTCAGTGGTTTCCTAAGGTTACTGTTGTGATTGTTTGATGAGGGTTTTAAAAATCATTATTATAAGCCTCATGGAATGCTGTGGATATTAGAGCATTTGTTAATACAATCATGCAATCAAATCACCTTGTGTTACAACTATAGTGCATTGTGTGGCTTACCTAAAATCATAGTGTATCTTGTAAGAAATTGAATACTACTGTCCAACAGACTTGAGTATGGTTGTCCAAGATGAACCACTTCTTTCCCAGTGAGGGACTCTTTTTCCTCTCCCAAGCTACATCAGTGATAAAAACAATTTTGAGTTGGCCGGGTACGGTGGCTCATATCTGTAATCCCAGCACTTTAGGGGGTTGAGGCGGATGGATCACAAGGTCAGGAGATTGAGACCATCCTGGCCAACATGGTGAAACCCCGTCTCTACTGAAAATACAAAAATTAGTCTGGCATGGTGGTACGCGCCTGTAGTCCCCGCTACTTGGGAGGCTGAGGCAGGAGAATTGCTTGAACCCAGGAGGCAGAGGTTGCAGTGAGCTGAGATGATACCACTGCCCTCCAGCCTAAAAAAAAAAAAAAAAATTTAATTTTTTTTTTTGTGTTAATGGCTGAGGAAATATTTTCTGCATTTTGGTTCAAAATATTGTTTAGTAGTCTTTTATTTTTTGAATTTCTCATTTAATGATGTTTTACTGTAGGCATTTTTTTCAGATTTGACTAAAGTGTATTAACTGGACAAATTTCAATACTATATTAAAATTGTATCCGTAAGCCTATTTATAAGTATATATAATTCTGATTATATTATACTGATTTTTTCTTTATTGACATATATTCTAATTTTATTTATAAATAAATTATAGTATTATAACTAAAATTTATATTCATTTATTTGTGGTGAGTTTTGATAAAGAGTTGTCTAGGTTAGCAGAAAAATTATAAACATAAGCATTTTGATTATTTTAGAGGAAATTGCAGATAATGTATTGTTTGGCATCAGATTATCTCTTAACTATTATAACCAAAAGTACAGCCACAACGGTATTTTGATACCTTTCTATTTGTTAAATGTATTCTTCCTCTCTGCCCACATCTCTGTTCTTGTTTCCTCTAAGGGGGAAACATACGTGGAGTTAATTCTAGGTCTCTACATTTCATTGTAAGAGATCACAGTTAACGTATTTTTTCTGTTGATATAGAAAAAAAAGTTTCTCCTCAGCTGGGTGCAGTGGCTCATGCCTATAATCCCATCACTTTGGGAGGCCAAGGCAGGCAGATCACCTGAGATCAGGAGTTCGAGACCAGCCTGGTCAACATGGCGAAACCTCGTCTCTACTAAAAATAGGCATGGTGGTGCACGCCTGTAATCCCAGCTACTTGAAAGGCTGAGGCAAGAGAATCATCTGAACCCAGGAGATGGAGGTTGTAGTGAGCTGAGATAGCACCATTGCACTCCAACCTGGGCAACAAGAGTGAAACTCCATCTCAAAAACAAAAGCAAAAACAAAAAAAGAAAAGAAAAAGTTTCTCCTCTAGTACAGGGATACTCAAATGGTTATATATAGATAATATAAATTTATTTACATTATTTATTTATACTTTTCCTTGTTTTAGAGAAAATTTAAGAGCGCTTACAAAAAATACGTAAAATATATTAGCAAGGTAGAAATTAAAAGTGGAAACTAAACAGTAAAGACAGACAAGGATGGGAACATACAATGGAAGTAAGAAAATACATGTCTTAACCAACTGTGTGTGTTTGTGTGTATACATATACTTGTCTATAATCAAGATATATGCTTTTCTTTTTTTTTCTTTTTTTTTCTTTTTTTGAGACGGAGTCTCGCTGTGTGGCCCAGGCTGGAGTGCAGTGGCCCCGATCTCGGCTCACTGCAAGCCACACCTCCCGGGTTCACGCCATTCTCCCGCCTCAGCCTCCGAGTAGCTGGGACTACAGGCGCCCGCCACCACGCCCGGCTACACCGTGTTAGCCAGGATGGTCTCGATCTCCTGACCTCGTGATCCACCCACCTCGGCCTCCCAAAGTGCTGGGATTACAGGCTTGAGCCACCGCGCCCAGCCGATATATGCTTTTCAAAAGGGGAAACTTAGTTACTAAATTCTGTGTCTTTCAGATTTAAAAATTATGCTAATTTCCATAAGATAAAAGCAAACCATTAACTATTTTTGGTACTAAGACCAAACAAAAATTTCTCTCAGAGGAGGATCTTCTTTTTTTATTATTTTATTTTATTTTATTTTATTTTATTTTATTTTATTTTATTTGAGACGGAATCTTGCTCTGTTGCCCAGGCTGGAGTGCAGTGGCACGGACTCCGCTCACTGCAACCTCCACCTCCCGGGTTCAAGCGATTTTCCTACCTCAGCCTCCCGAGTAGCTGGGACTACAGGCACCCGCCACCACGTCCAGCTAATTTTTTGTATTTTTAGTAGAGACGGGGTTTCACCGTGTTAGCCAGGATGCTCTCGATCTCCTGACCTCGTGATCCACCTGCCTCAGCCTCCCAAAGTGTTGGGATTACAGGCGTGAGCCACTGCGCCGGGCCGGATCTTCTTTTTTTAAAAAATAGAGTCTTACTCTATTGCCCAGGCTGGAGTGCAGTGGCACAATCTCAACTCACTGCAACCTCCATCTCGCAGGTTCAAGGAATTCTCATGCCTCAGCCTCCCAGGTAGCTGGAATTACAGGCAAGCGCCACCACGCCCAGCTAATTTTTGTATTTTTCGTACTGATGGGGTTTCACCATATTGGCCAGGATGGTTTCGAACTCTTGACCTCAGATGATCTGCCCGCCTTCGCCTCCCAAAATGCTGGGATTACAGGCGTGAGCCACCGTGCCCGGCCTCAGAGAGGGATCTTCATAAAAAGAATGTTGATATAATGAGCAAATTCTTCTACAGCCTTTTATCAATCACTCACAATTTTCATTGGATTTCTAATAGATGCGTGGCATCCTATCAAAATTAATCTCAGGCATTCCCGCCTGCCCTCCTTCCCTCTTTCCCTCCTTCCCTCCCTCCCCTTTCTTTCTCCTCCCCACCCCACTCCACCAAAAAAAATCAGTTTCAGTAAAGGAGGCCCCACAGGGAATGAGTACTTTGTGGCTAGTTTTATGCTGATCTGGATTGATCCAGGATAGAGTTTTAAATATCTGAAAGAATGGATATACATTATATGTTCTTGCAAGTTATCTTTTCTAAATATTCTTTGTCTCAAACAAGACGTTGATAAAGATAGTATGGAAAATGAGTTTGGCATTATATTCCCTAACAAACACCTTCTAAATACCCATTTGATGATACTGGTTGAACTCAAATCAGACCCACTGTTTGTAATAGACCATTAATCTGAGGGCACAAGTGACATTCTCTTGTGTAAGGCGATGAGTCTTCCATTTTGGACAACCATCTCATTATATTTATTATGCAATGAAGTGTATTTGCTAGTAATTTTGTTTAATTTTTACCACATGCAGAAAATTGGAGATTCATACCGTGGCTACTGTGTGAGTGAGGCTGAATTAGAAAGTGTCCTAACATTTCACAAGCAGCAAACACAGAGTGTTTGGGGGACCCGTCAGTCTCCAAGCCCAGCCAAGCCTGCTACACGCTTGATGTGGAAATCCCAGTATGTTCCATATGATGGAATCCCATTTGTTAATGCAGGTACTTTTTTAAAGACTTATTTTAAAAGGTTCAGCAGCAGCCGTAGTCCGTTGTGAAAATGTGATTTTCCTAAGGTGATACAATTTTATTATGGTAGCTGACAATTGAATGCTAATTGAAATGCATATTAAATTGAAAAAACTTATAGTAAATATAATCAATTACCTTATAAGATTGCATTTTAATATATCAGAATGAGTAAGACTTCTTTCATATATTATACTGAAAAATAAAATATCGAAGTTTCAGTTAACCTGTTTAATAAAATATTAAAAGAGCAATTTTATTTTAAATATGTACATCAGCTGTGTTTTTCCCCTTCAGATTAAATATTTTAGCCTTCTCTCTTAATTTGTTTTGTGGGGGAAATTTGTGTGTATTTTATGTAGCTTGTAACTCTGGAGCTACTGTATAGAATTTGTATACAATCTGGAGTTATAGAATTCTGATACTAAAGCTCTCAAGCATTAGGTATGTTATATACAGTATTCTCAGAGACTGGGTTAGTTGTTTACTAAGGGAGTAGTTTCAAGCAAATCTCTTAGACTAATTAAAGCCCCAAAGAATCTAAAACTAAGCAGTTTATTTTAGGACTATGAGGGCAGTAATTTAGCTGAAAGAGTTGCAGTTTCATCCTGGACCTCTGAGGTTAATGAGAAATACTTAAGAGAAGATGAGATAAATGTAACCACTTCTGCCTGAGTTTCATCAGTAGTCTATAAAAGAAATGCAACATTAAAAATAAATGAGCTGGGTTATTTGTTTATTTATATATTTATTTATTTATTTATTTAAAATGTGGTGGCTCATGCCTATAGTCCCAGCACTTTGGGAGGCCAAAGCAAGAGGATTGCTTGAGCCCACGAGTTTGAGAGAATCCCTGGGCAAAACAGAGAGACCTCATCTTTACAAAAAAATAATAAATTACCTGGACATGGTGGCATGGGCCTGTAGTCCCAGCTATTTGGGAAGCTGAGGTAGAAGGATCACTTGACCCTTGGAGGTCGAGGCTGCAGTGAACCATGATCATGCCACTGCACTCCAGCCTGTGTGGCAAAGTAAGACCCTGTCTTAAATAAAAAAAAATAAAAAAAAAAAAAACAACTAACAAATAATAAAATGAACTTGAAATCCTGTAGCCTTCCTTTTTCCCATCCTAGATCTAATCTCCTTAACCCTCCATAGGTAACTACTACATGAATTTCATGTGTATCATTCTAGTCTATATTTTTATACTTTACCTTACATATTGTATCTACAATAATATATTTTATTGTTTTGGATTTTTTTTAAATGTGTAAATAGTAAAGTATAGATATTGTTTTGCAAATTTTTTCACTCACCCTTTTTTTTTTACATCTATTGGTATTGATATTTATAAATCCTAGTTAATCCAATTTAATCATTGTATAATATTCCAGCATATGACCAAACCAGTAATTTTCTATTGATCATCATTTAGGTTGTTTCCAACTTTTCATTATTACGAAGAATGCTGTAGTGAAACCTCCACACTATATATACTCTAATGAAAAAGCTGTAATTAGTTTTTCTAGAGTTACAATTGTGAATTATGGTTGTGAATTATGCCCATTTCATCTTTACAAGATTATCTTAAAATTGCTCTCAAAAGTGATTGTACAGATCCACAATCCTTTTGAAATTTTTTGGACCACATATATTTCAGAATTCTGAATTTTTTTAATGTAATGTGGTAACATTATGGAATACTCCTAGCAGGTATTCTATAGACCAGCAGTCCCCAATCTTTTTGGCACCAGGGACTGGTTTTGTGGAAGACGGTTTTTCCACGGACCAGGATGGGGGATGGGGGATGGTTTCGGGATGACTCAAGCACATTACATTTATTGTGCACTTTATTTCTATTACTACATTGTAATATGTAATGAAACAATTACACAACTCACCAGAATGTAGAGTCAGTGGTACCCCTGAGCTTGTCTTCCTGCAACTAGCAGGTCCCAGCTGGAGGTGATGGAAGACAGTGACAGATCATCAGGCATTAGATTCTCATAGGGAGCCTGCAACCTAGATCCCTTGCATGTGCAGTTCCTAACAGGGTTTGTGCTTCTATGAGAATCTAATGCTGCCACTGATCTGACAGGAGGCAGGGCTCAGGAGGTAATGCAAGTGATGGGGAGTGGCTGTATATACAGGTGAAGCGTTGCTGGCTTGCCCACTGCTCACCTCCTTCTGTGCGGCCTGGTTCCTAACAGGCTACAGACTGATAGTGGTCCATAGTCTGGAGGTTAGAGACCCCTGCTATAGCCAATATCACATAATCAAACACTAATTCTTTATTATATAGTCATACCAAGAGAAACAAATAAAGACTATAAATAACCTCACACAGCTCAGGCCTGGTTTTGCAGCCAAGTGAGTCCTGAAAAAACTGTTTGCTGAGCTTTTTGGATTTCAGATTTGTACATAAGGGTTTGACAACTTGTGCCAATTTTCACTCCTGTCAGCAGTTGTGTGAAAATTTCATTTCTCCATATTTACTTCATGACTTAGCTTTGCCAGGTGTTTAAAAATCTTTTTTTTTTTTTTTTTGAGGCAGGGTCTCACTCTGTCACCCAGGCTGGAGTACAGTGGTGTGATCTCAGCTCACTGCAATCTCAATCTCCTTGGCTCAAGAGATCCTCCTGCCTCAGCCTCCTGAGTAGCTGGGACTACAGGCATATGCCACTATGCTCAGCTAATTTTTGCATTTTTTTTGTGGAGATGAGGTTTTGCCATGTTGCCTAGGCTGGTCTCAAACTCCTAAACTCAAGCAATCTGCCCACCTCAGCCTCCCAAAGTGCCGGTATTACAGGCGTGAGCCACTGCTCAGCCTTAAAAAACCTTTAAATTATGGAAATTTTTACAGGTGAATCAAAGTAGAGATAATAATATAAGAAACCCCGTGACTCCAGGTGTCTGTCTTCCAGCTTCAACGACTGTCAGTGTATGGTCAATCTTGTGTCATACCCCTTACAATTCCTCATTCCCTAGATGGTTTTGTAGCACATTTCAGATATATCATTCCTTCTGTAATTACTAAAGTATATGGTGTATAGTAAAGCATATGTCTCTAAAAGATAAGGACTCCTTACATATGTCTATACATATATGTGTGTATATATATACACACACACACATATATATATATATCAATCCCATTATCACACTTAAGAAAATTCATAGTAACTTTTTAATGTTATAAAATGTTCAGTGTTTACATTTTCCCACTTATCTCACAGGTTTTTCCCCCCCTTAAAGGTTGTTGAAATTCAAATCCAAACAGCATCTACAGACTGCATTTAGTTAATAAATCTCTTAAACTTCTTTTAATTTGAAGATTTCTCTCCTCTTCTAGGTAGTTTGTTCTGTAATATTTGCCATATTCTGGGTTTTGCTTATTCCATCTGTGTGATGTAGTTTTTGTTCTTTATCTCTTCTGTTTTCTGTAAACAGGTCTAGAGCCTTGATTAAATGCAGATTTGATTTTTGCAAGAATACCTCCTCCCGTGCTGTGTACTTATTGCCATCTGTGTGTGTCTCTGTTTGTGGTGTTCAGATTGATCGGTGGATTCAGTTGTTTTAGAGTATTGTCAAATGTTTTTATTTTTGCCAATCCAAGGAGTATGAGATAGTATTTTACTATTGTTTTAATTTGCATTTCCCTGTTTACCTGTAAAGTTGAACATCTTTTTCTTTGTTCATTTACTACCTTTTTTTTCTTTCTGACTTGGCTATTCATAGCCTTTGCCCATTTTTCTGAGTGGTTGTTTATTAATTATTTATGATTGTTTGTAGTTTACATAGTAATTCTACATGGAGAATTACTACGTTATATATGTTATAAAATGCTATTTCTCACACTATTACTTTTATATTTACTTATGGTATCTTCTAAACAAGTTTTTATATTTTAGTGTCAGTTTTATCAACATTTTTGTTGGTAACTGGTGTTTTTATTTTATATTTTAAAAGTTTGCTGTATCCTACAGTAGTGTAAGATACTCAGCTTAAAATCAAGTTATATAGTTTTCACATCTACTTATTTGTATTATCTATTGCTGTGTAACAAATTATACCAAACTTAGTGGCTGAAAACAACAAATGTTAATTATCTCACAGTTTCTGTGAGTCAGGAATCCAAGAGTGACTCAGCAAAGTGGTTCAGCTGCAGTCATCTCATGACTTGACTGAGGGAGGGTCTACTTTCAGATTCACTCTTGTGGCTGTCAGCAGGCCTTACTCCTTGCCATGTGGGCCTTTCCACAGAGCTCCCTTACCACATGGCAGCTGATTATATCCAGAGAGAGCAATTCAAGCAAGAGTAAGAGAGAGTAGCCAAATGGAAGTTACAGTCTTTTTATAACCTAATATCAAAAATAACTTCCTATCACTTTTGCCATATTTATTAAACATAATAAGTCTAGCCCATGTTCAAGGGGAGGGGGTTACTCAAGGGCATGAATACTAGAAGGCATGGATTACTGGGGGCCATCTTAGGGCTGGCTGCTGTATTAACAGCCCAAATAAAAATAAGAAAATAATTATAAAAGGAAATAAAAATATAAATGATACTAATATTTATTAACCAAATGTAACATTTGCTCACTATTTATAAAGTGGTATAAAAGCCATATGTCAGGTGGGGCACAGTGGCTCATGCCTCTAATCGCAGCCCTTTGGGAGGCCAAGGCAGGCGGATCACTTAAGGTTAGGAGTTCAAAGGCAGGTGGATCCCTTGAGGTTAGGGGTTCAAAACCAGCCTGGACAACATGGCAAAACTCTGTCTCTACTAAAAATACAAAAATTAGCCTGGCGTGGTGACACACACCTATAGTCCCAGCTACTCAGGAGGCTGAGGCAGGAGAATTGCTTGAACCCAGGAGGTGGAGGTTGCAGTGAGCCAAGATCACGCCACTGCACTCCAGCCTGGGTGACAAAGTGAGAGTCCGTCTCAAAAAAAAAAAAAAAAAAAAAAATTGTATGCCAGTAGACATTCAGTAAATGTGATATTCACTAATTTTCTTACCATAATTATGGTACCTTTGGTAAATTTTAAAATAAACTTTTAAATTTATATGTTTGTATATCTTAGACTTATTAATGTTTTCTTTCCTTAAAGCTGTATACTTGAAAGATTTTGACATTGCCACCACCAAGTTACTTTTAATCTAGTGTCTAGAATAGATGGACACTTGAATTAATATCAATAGTTGGTTTTGGCCCACAGGGAGTAGAGCTGTGGTAATGGAGTGTCAGTATGGGCCAAGAAGAAAAGGTTTCCAGTTAAAAAAAGTCAGTGAGCAAGAAAGCAGGTCTTGTCAGCTCTACAAAGCCACTTGTCCAGCTCGGTAAGCTTTATTTTCTTTTATTTGTTTTTTATTAAGAACTTATTTTTGAATAGCTAATACACATATTTTATTAGGTTTATACAGTACTGAAAAGTATACAGTGAATTCTAAGTTTTCTCTTAGGCACGTTTGTTCTGTCTTTAAAGCAACAACTCTTACTAGTTTTGAGTCATCTTCCAAAGATATTCTGTGTATATGGATGCATATAAAGGCAGAAACAGAGATCTCCTTCTCTACCCCTATAAATGTTGTTGAAAATCTCAGTAAAGCTCACTAATATTTTCTTTCCTTAAACTTAGATAGTAGTGTACCTTTTTTCTTGATATGAATTCACATAGATTTATTCTCAATCTGAATGCCTATTGTGGTTATCTGCTGCAGAGATATGCTACATACTAGTGTTAATGTAATGACATAAACTTTCCTTTTTTTCATTCTCATTGTATCTCAAAGCTGACTCCATATATATGTACTTACATATATATTACATATATGTACATAAAAGTACTATTTTTAATAGCCATTCCATTTATGGATGAATTATTTAATTCATGTAAGCTGTGAAAGGTATTCCTTATTAGTATTATACAAAGCTACAATTATTAACATTGTACATATTTGTGCACTCCTACAAGTGTTTCAGTAGGAAAAATTCCTAGAAATGAAATTGCTAGGGCAAAGGCTGTATCTTTTAAAAATGTTGACAAATATTGCAAAGTTACTTTTTAGAGCGATTTTATCAATTTACCAACGTAGTAAGTTCTAGATAGATTAGGACTACAGAGTAGTCATTGCTCTGGGTAAGAATGAAAAATGTGAACCAATGAAAGATTTCACAATGTCCTTTATGAATGTAAATTTTTTAGACATTGAAAGTATTTTAAGACTTTTAAATATATTAAGTGTTAAACTATTCGGTAAAATAAAAAATTTAAAAGATAATATGTAGTGGTTGGACTTAGTTGATCTTTGAAACGCTTTTAGTATCACATCTCATGTTATTAATACCTCAGCATTCTTGGCCGAGCACGGTGGCTCACACCTGTAATCCGAGCACTTTAGGAGGCCAAGGCGGGTGGATCACGAGGTTAGGAGTTTGAGACAAACCTGGCCAACTGGTGAAACCCCGTCTCTACTAAAAATATAAAAAATTAGGTGGGCCCCTGTAATCCCAGATACTCGGGAGGCTGAGGCAGGAGAATTGGTTGAATCCAGGAAACGGAGGTTGCTGTGAGCTTGAGACTGTGCCACTGCACTCCAGCCTGGGCAACAGAGCAAGACTCCATCTCAAAAAAAATAAAATAAAATAAAATAAATACCTTAGCATTCTCAAGAAGTTTTTAAAGCCCATTTACAAGGCTTTTCATATTTAATCCTATAATATTAACTTTAGGGAATATTTAAACCTGACTGTGAAACAAACTTTCAGTTGCTTTTTTTTTTTCCATTTAGCCTTGACTTGAAACTTTTATCAACTGCTTCTTAAATATAAGCAATATAAAAACTTTAAGTATTACTTGGGGAAAAACCTCTACATGTGAAGAAATAATTTTATTTTCCTTCGTTCTACAAGTACTTTTTGGCTATCTACTCTGTGCCCAGAAACTACATTGGTTGTCCTGGGAAGGAGGGAAACCAAAAGAGGAATAAAATTTTACTTAATCCCAGGGAATGGATCAGGAAACAAAAACTAGTAGACAACATGATAGTATAGAATATAGTGTGAAATACATGATTTAACTACCTATTGAGGTATTTAAAGAAGGAATATATCCATACAAATTCATGGCAGGAAAGAAAGTACAATTTAAACTGGATGTTGAGGTTTAAATTGAATTTGGGTGGGTAGAGAGTTAGAGGGGTGATATTGTAGGTTAAGAGAACCATATAACTAAAGCTACAGAGGCCGGGTGCGGTGGCTCATGCCTATAATCCCAGCACTCTGGGAGGCTGAGGCGGGTGGATCACTTGAGGTGAGGAGTTTGTGACCAGCCTGACCAACATGGTGAAACCCTGTCTCTATTAAAAATACAAAAAAAATTAGCCGGGCATAGTGACACATGCCTATAATCCCAGCTACTGGGGAGGCTAAGGCAAGAGAATCACCTGTGACACTGAATTATCAAGTGGATTTAAGTAATGAAAGATTGGAGGCACAGGCCTGGAAGGAGGCTATTAAAGTAATCTAGGGCCAGGCATGGCAGCTCACGCCTGTAATCCCAGCACTTCAGGAGGCCGAGGTAGGCGGATCACCTGAGGTCGGGAGGTCAAGACCAGCCTGACCAACATAGAAAAACCCCGTCTCTACTAAAACTACAAAATTAGCCAGCAGTGGTGGCATACGCCTGTAATCCCAGCTACTAGGGAGGCTGAGGCAGGAGAATTGCTTGAATCCAGGAGGCAGAGGTTGCGATGAGCTGAGATCATGCCATTGCACTCCAGCCTGGGCAACAAGAGCAAAACTCCATCTCAAAAATAAATAAATAAATAAACAAATAAATAAATAAATGTAATCCAGGCATGAGATTCTGCCTTCCAGGAGAATGAAGAGAAGGCAAATCTAGGGGAAAAAAATGGTAAAGTCTGTAAATACTTAGATATTTTTCCTCAAATCATGTTTACTTTTAATTTGCTAAGTATTAATACAACTGGGAATATGGCATATATTTTATATAAGCCTCTGAATACTTTACAGATAAATAGAATTTTCTCTAAGCTTAAATGCTTAAAGTACACTTCTGGTTGATAAAATAGATTTTCTTGAGATTATAATATAATGAAACAAATTCTTCTTTATCTTGTATCAAGGATTTACATTAAAAAGGTACAGAAGTTTCCTGAATATAGAGTTCCTACAGACCCCAAAATTGACAAGAAAATTATCAGAATGGAGCAGGAGAAAGCTTTTAACATGCTAAAGAAGAACTTGGTAGATGCTGGTGGTGTTCTTAGGTATGACATTTTTATAGTTCTTTTATTTTATAAATTAATTAGCTCAATTTCCAATAATTATTTTGTAAGGGAAATTATAGTTTTCCAATTATTTCATTAAGTAACAGTTTTACAAGGTAGAGGTATCAATAGTTCCCTAGATATTAAATTGATTTGCCACTGTGTAAGCCATTGAGTTTCTCACCCCCAGTTGTAGATAATTCAGACCAAAGAATTATACCATACCGTATAGCACATACTCTGTATACCATATACTATGTAAAAGTTTTTTCTCAGAATGACAGACATATTTAATATACTTTATTATATATTAGTACTTTGTTTTAGATACTTACTATGAGCAGAAACTGCAGCTGCCTGTCATTTTTTTTTAACTAATCTTTGATTACTTATGGCAGCCAGAAATGAATTCTAAGCCCTAAATAAAATTCCATTTTACACCTTTTATGCTTTAGGTTTTAAATGAGAAATATTAGCATTCTTTTTTACTTTCCTTTATGTGTCAGTCCGGGTGAATAATTTGTTACTGTATAATGGATTTAAGTGTATGGAATATCGTTTTTGTGTGATCTTTAAAAAAACTTTTAGGTATGTGAAAAATAAATTGAGTCAATAATTAGATCCTTCAATGAAAGTCAAAAATATCACTAAAACAATTAGATCCTGCAGTTTGAAGAACATTGCATATAATTTTTAAGTAGGCAGTTATCAGTCATTGTAAGAATTTTATACAGAAATATCAATTAAAGCGGTATCCTACCAGATTAGTTCATTTTCCTACCGTCTTTTTTTTTTTTTTTTTCCCGCATGGCTCTCCAAGAGATCTGCATTCACCTTTAGTTAATTCTCTTGCTCACTTGACCAGCAGGAGCTGGGAGTGCTATAGAGGCAGTATGTTGAGCTCCTGTGAGGGAAGAATCAACCATAAAGTTCAATCTTGACAGGTTCTATCTTTGATTGGAAGGATGGTAGGTGTAACAGAGAAGTGTAATTTCGGGCAAATGTTTGATGAATGGGAAAATACACAGTTCAAAAGATGATGATTTACAATGTCTTCTCTTTATTTTGAGGTAAAATGTACTTAATATGAATTTTCCCATGAACCCAAAATAATACAATTAATATGAAATTTAAAATGCCATTTTCATATATACTTAAAATTCCTCTATCTCCCTCAACTGTAGGACCACAGTGAAAGTCTGTAAATATTTACAAATATTTAAATTTAATTGGATATAAAATAGATCTTAGAAGTTAAGAGATCATTTTAAATTTTATTTGATAGGAAATAACCATATATAATTTTTTCTTAAAGGATTAATTCTTCTCTTTATGAGTATTAACCTAAGTAATTATGATTCCTACTTTGATCTAATAATATTAAATAATTTCAATGTTTAAATTTTAGTAATTTTAAATACTTTCTCTTACCAGGTGGTATGTACAGTTACCTACACAGCAAGCTCATCAGTATCATGAATTAGAGACTCCCTGCCTCACTTTGTCACCTTCTCCGTTTCCTGTGTCTTCTGTTGAAGAAGAGGAAACTGCAGTTAGAGATGAGAATTGTGCATTACCCTCACGTTTACATCCTCAAGTAGCCCATAAGATTCAAGAATTAGTATCACAGGGAATAGAACAAGTGTATGCAGTGAGGAAGCAGCTAAGGTACAATAGAAGAGCATTGTTCTTTTACATTTTTCAGTTTTGTTTGTTGCTTTAAATAATACAGTGAACACTGGAGATATTTTCCAAAATATATGCTGTCAGGGTAGATAAGGAATATAGTTTATTATTTTATTAAGATCTTATTTATAAACTGATCGTTTTCTAACAAATGCTTGGCAAGCAATGGTGTAGTATGGTTTATTATAATTCTGATTACTCATTTGAGACATTCTATATTTGGATTTGGCAAATTGGACTATTTCTAAATGATGTATAAAATGAATTAGTTAATAAATACTTTTAGAGAAAAAACCTTTGTAGAACCAAAGATTTTAAAACCTAGGCCAAGACACGTATTTCAAACTATTTGAAATGCAGTTAAATTTTATTACAACAAGAGAATTTGGATAATTCTTTGTCTAATGAAATTTTATTTGTAGTACTCTGGTCTAAGTTTTTTGATCCTCAGGAAATAATTATATAAGTAATTATATAATCACTCATTATGTGTGTGCCAGGTACTGTGCTAGGCTTTTTACATGTATGATCTCATTTAGTCTTACAATAGCACTATAAAGTTGGTATATTTATCCGAATTCTACACATGAGAAACTGGAGTCTCAGAGTGGTTAAATAATTGGCTTAAGAGGCAGTGGCAGAGCCACGCGCAGTGGCTTATGACTATAATCCCAGCACTTTGGGAGGCCAAGGAGGGCGGATCACAAGGTCAGGAGATCGAGACCATCCTGGCCAACATGGTGAAACCTCATCTCTACTAAAAATACAAAAATTAACTGGGTGTGGTGGCACGCGCCTGTAGTCCCAGCTTCTTGGGAGGCCGAGGCCGGAGAATTGCTTGAACCCTAGAGGCGGAGGTTGCAGTGAGCCGAGATTGTGACACTGCACTCTACCCTGGCAATAGAGCGAGACTCCGTCTCAAAAAAAAAAAAAAAAAAAGGCAGTGGGAGAACTGAAATTTAGGCCTGACTCTATAGCCTATGCCCATTACCATGATTTATTGATACTTAGCCTTGCTCTTACTGATTATTGTGTAATCTGATCTGAATAACAAAAGAAATATAGTAAGCCCCCTCTTAAAGTCATCAATAGGTTCTTGAAAACTGCTACTTTAAGCAAAAGGAAATACAGCACGTCCTTGAGTAATATCGTTCTGTTCAATGCCTTTTTTTCAACTTTTTTTGTAAAAGAGACAGGGATCTTGCTATGTTGCCCAGGCTGGTCTTGAAGTCCTGGCCTCAAATGATCCACCCAAGAAGATGGGATTGCAGGAGCAAGCCACTGCACCTGATCAGTGTTGTTTTCTTGCAGCATTGGAGAAAGTAATTTGGTTTTGTTATGTCCTTTCACTTAAGGTCTCAGTTTCCAGGAACCTAACAATGATGTTAACTGAGAACTTACTGTAATTCCTAGAATTATTTCCTAATTAATACATTACTTTTCTATTTAGCAGTTTTCTTAGATGTTTTATATTTATTTCCATTGGGGCATCATTAGCATAAGGCAAAAATTTGGTAAAGCCATTCACTATTTACTAAACCTGAATCTTAAGAAAGGAAGTATAATACAGTTCTGTGATTTGGTCCACCAAATGTAATAAGCATATATATGTTAAATTTTATCATTTCTTTTATGTATTGATTTTTTAGTACAATTAAATAACAGTGCTGCCTTCTATTTCTATCTTCTTTTGTCTCCGTGTAAAATTCAAGCCCATCATATTTCATATAATGTTAATTGATGCTTTTGGAAGCAATGTAACATGATGTTTACGCACATAACCTGGGTATAGGCCCAAGCTCTTATTTACTAGGTAGGTGTATGATTTTGGGCAAATTATTTCACTTCTACAATACTCAGTTCTATCATCTGTAAAGTGGGAATGATAATTGTACCTATGTCGTTGATCATTAAGGGTTAAAGGAGATATTTGATGTGAAGTGTTCCATACAGTGCCTGACATAGTAATCATTAAAAACATTATACTTAAACTGAAAATAGTGGTTTCTTTAAATTCATAAAAATATCAAAGCTCAGCCGGGCGTGGTGGCTCATGCCTGTAATCCCAGCACTTTGGGAGGCCAGGGCAGGTGGATTGCGAGGTCAGGAGATCGAGACCAGCCTGGCCAACATAGTGAAACCCGGTCTCTACTAAAAATACAAAAAATTAGTCGGGCGTGGTGGCACACTCCTGTAGTCCCAGCTACTCGGGAGGCTGAGGCAGGAGAATCGCTTGAACCCAGGAGGCAGAGGTTGCAGTTGAGCCGAGATCACGCCACTGCACTGTAGCCTGAGCAACAGAGTGAGACTCCATCTCAAAAAAATTAATAATAACAAAACTCACTCTAATATATTTAGATGTTTACCAATGAAAATATTACGTTTCTGTAGTCTACAATAATTCTGTGTTGTATGGGAAAATTTTAAGTAGGAAAATATAAATTACTTACAGAGGTATAAACCATACTTCATAGAGGTTTATACTGAAAGAGAACCTTTATCTCTTTGGATCTAAAGGCATATTGCTAAATAGTTTATGTCTTTATTCCATTTTGTATTCTTTACAGAAAATTTGTGGAAAGGGAACTGTTCAAACCCGATGAGGTACCTGAAAGACATAATTTATCTTTTTTTCCAACTGTAAATGATCTAAAAAATCACATCCATGAGGTACAGAAATCCTTGAGAAATGGAGATATGGTATATAACTCAGAGATTATTCCGGCAACGGTATGATTACAACCATAATTCCTTATTACAGAGTTTCTCAGCTTCTGTTAATATTTAGTCTAATAAGAATGGCTACTGTTAGGCCATCTGAATAACTGCAGTATAAGAAAATATAATAGCCTAGGTGTGGTAGCTTATGCCTGTAATCCCAATACTTCGGGAGGCCGAGATGGGTGGATCGCCTGAGGTCAGGAGTTTGAGATCAGCCTGGCCAACACGGTGAAACCCCATCTCCACTAAAAATACAAAGATTAGCTGGGCCTGGTGGTGGGCGCTTGTAATCCTAGCTACTCGGCAGGCTAAGGCAGGAAAATCACTTGAACTCAGGAGGTGGAGGTTGCAGTGAGCCGAGATTGCACCACTGTACTCCAGCCTGGGAGACTCAGCGAGACACTGTCTCAAAAATATATATATATGTATAGCATCTTTTTCTTAAAATGTAAATACTCTGAATGTTTAGAAAATGACTAAAAGTTTTTATTACTTTCACAAGAAGAAAAATCAGTGAATTCCAACTCTATAATAAAAACACTACCCAGGCACAGTGGCTCGTGCCTGTAATCCCAGCACTGTGGGAGGCTGAGGCGGGCAGATCACCTGAGGTCAGGAGTTCGAGACCAGCCTGACCAACATGGCAAAACCCCGTCTCTACTAAAAATACAAAAATTAGCTGGGTGTGGCTGGGCGCAGTGGGTCACGGCTGTAATCCCAGCACTCTGAGAGGCCGAGGTGGGCAGATCACAAGGTCAGAAGATCAAGACCATCCTGGCTAACACATCTTTACTAAAAATACAAAAAATTAGCCGGGCATGGTGGCGGGCGCCTGTAGTCCCAGCTACTTGGGAGGCTGAGGCAGGAGAGTGGCGTGAACCCGGGAGTCAGAGTTTGCAGTGAGCCGAGATCACACCACTTTACTCCAGCCTGGGCAACAGAGTGAGACTCCATCTTAAAAAACAAAAAAAAATTAGCTGGGTGTGGTGGTGCGTGTCTGTAATCCCAGCTACTTGGGAGGGTGAGGTAGGAGAATCGCTTGAACCTGGGAGGCAGAGGTTGCAGTAAGCTGAGATAGCACCACTGCACTCCAGCCTGGGAGACTGAGTGAGACTTCATCTCAAAAACAACAACAACAGGAAACCACTAATCTTTATTTTAAAATCAACATGTATTTTCTCTGTAAAAATTATTCTTACTAATTTAACAGACATTTATTGAGTACTATGTATATATTTCCCCTCCCTTTTTTAATAAATGGGCAAATTTAAATACAGTTGTTTGGTCCGGGTGCATTGGCTCGTGCCTATAATCCTAGCACTTTAGGAGGCTGAGGCAGGTGGAACACCTGAGATCAGGAGTTCGAGACCAGCCTGGCCAACACAGTTTAACTAAATTTCTACCAAAAATACAAAAATTAGCTGGACGTGGTGGCAGGTGCCTATAGTCCCAGCTACTCAGGAGAGTAAGGCAGGAGAATCACTTGAATCCGGGAGGCAGAAGTTGCAGTGAGCCGAGATCATGCCATCACACTCCAGCCTGGGTGACAACAGCAAAACTCCATCTCAATAAATAACTAAATATCCATCCATCCATCCATCCATCCATCCATCCATCCATCCAGTTGTTCATACCTGATTGCCCAAAGTGATAACGTTGGTTCCATATGTCATCTATGGGTATTAGTTGAACTCATACTTATTTTTTTATTTTTTATTTTTTTTGAGACAGAGTCTCTCTCTCTTGCTCAGGCTGGATTGCAGTGGCATGATCCTGGCTTATTGCAACCTCCATCTCCCAGGTTCAAGCGATTCTCCTGCCTCAGCCTCACAAGTAGCTGGGATTACAGGTTTTAGCCACCATGCCCAGCTGATTTTTTGTTTTTATTAGAGATGGGTTGCACCATGTTGGCCAGGCTGGTCTTGAACTCCTGATCTCACGTGATTTGCCCTCCTCGGCCTCTCAGAGTGTTAGGATTACAGGCATGAGCCACCGCGCCCGACCTTAACTCATAGTTTGATATGGTAGTTTCTCCCTGAATATTAGTCATTTCTGTGAAAATTTTGCCTACTCTGAAGATGTTAATTACCCAGAAACAACTAATTACAATACAGCCAGTGATTATGCCATTAAATCTGAGGTGCAATATCTTTTGCTCTCCTAACTTCTGTTATCCAAATGCAGTATCTGAAAAAATATGGATATTTTAAAAGCCAAAACTGTTTCTTGCAATCTATAACTCTTTGTCTTTTTTCTTTTTTTTTTTTTTAAGATAGAGTTTCACTGTCGCCCAGCCAGAGTGCGCTCACACAATCATGGCTCACTGCAGCCACGACCTCCAAGACTCAAGCAGTCCTCCCACTTTAGACTCCTGTCAGCTGGAGCTACGGGCACCAGCCATTACACCTAGCTAATTTTTTAATTTTTTGTAGAGACTGAGTCTCACTTTGTTGCCCAGGCTGATCTCAAACTCCTGGCCTCAAGCACTTCTCTAGCCTTGGCTTCCCAAGCCTTATGGGCGTGACCCACTGTACCCAGCCCAATAACTCTTAATTATTCACTATCTAAATGTTAGAAGTAGTCCTTGTCATCTACACTTGTCTAAATTCCTGCTATCTAAACTCAGGAATTTAATATATTTGTATAGTAAAGTATACTTGTGCTTGGAGAATGTGAACAAGTGAAGAGAGTAGCAGAATAAATCACATACTGTGAATAAAATGCGACAGTTGTAATGACGTCTTAAGATATTTTTCAATATAAGAGCTTTATTTTTACTGAAATAAATGTTTCCATTTCAGCTTCAATGGACTACAGACAGTGGGAATATTCTCAAAGAGACCGTGACGGTTACATTTGCAGAAGGTAGGTTGTCTTGAATACGTTTAAAATATAAATTCAAACGGTGTTTAACTGGAAGGAACTTAAGATACTATGTCATCTAATCAGATTTTATAGATAAGGAAACCAGGATCCAAAGACGTAGGAGCAGCTTTGTTATGGTTTATCAACATACTTCCTGCTATTTTAATTTCCTCTTATACTTTGCTTTTAATGCTTTTTTATGACTGAAATTTTGAAGCTGATAACTAGCACAGTTAACTGTAGCTAATTCACTATAAGTCTGGCTAATTCCAGTAGTCATAACCCTAAGATGCCCTGATCCGGGAACTATGGTCCATTTTTTATGGTTATTTTTTCTCCTGTGTTCTTACTGCTGTGCCCTTTCAATATTCCAAACTTATTTCCACCCTTTTGCATTTGTTCTCTCTTCTGGAAATGTCTTTTTTCTTCTGCATGGCAAACTCCTCTTAGTACTCAAATTGTAAACTCTTTTGTTTTAAGTACATTTGTAACTTCACCCCCTATATAAAGTTAAACCTCTGAATTTCTTTTTTTGTTTTTGAGACAGAGTGTCACTCTGTCACCCAGGCTGAAGTGAAGTGGTGCAATCTCGGCTCACTGAAACCTCCGCCTCCCGGGTTCAAGTGATTCTCCAGCCTCAGCCTCCCAAGTAGCTGGGATCACAGGCACACACCACCATACCTGGCTAATTTTTGTATTTTTAGTCAAGATGGGGTTTCGGCATGCTGCCCAATCTGATCTCAAACTCCTGACCTCAGGTGATCCACCCACCTTGGCCTCCCAAAGTGCTGGGATTACAGGCGTGAGCCACTGCGCCTGACCAAACCTCTGAATTTCTATAATGAGCAACTGACTGATAGCATTTACTGAGCTCAGCAACACTGGTGAAAGAATAGAGCATTGGTAGGGCAGGAGAGAGAATAAAGGACTTACTAGGTTTGTAAAGCTGAGTATCTGAGCCATTTCAGTGGAGTGGATTGGGAGGAAGCCATATTGGGGTGATTGAAGGGTGAATGGGAGATGAAGAAGGAGTAGGGACTCCTTAAAAAGTGCACCACTTTTTCAGGAATTTTGCGATGGCAAATGGGGTTGAGGGAAGGTATTTTAAGAGAGTAGAGAACTGAAAAGATAGATGAAGATGGTGATGGGAAGTTGAAACTTCTGTTGGCTTCCCTTTTCTCTGTAAGAGTGCTAAGGATAAGGAAAGGTTTGAAGAAGGGTGGCATGGATTTGAGGGAAATGCAAATTAGAAACTACCCTGGATAGAGAGTAAAACATTGCCAGATACAGGTGAAGGTCCAATCAAAGTTAATAAAGAATTGGTATTAGTAGAATTAGTGAGTTTCTTTTTCAGTGGCATTCAGCTTCCCATGTATTGGGAAGGAAAGCCATTTTTATGCAGAGTTAGGGTTTTACTTGAGGGATATGACCAAAGGACAGAGAGGCAAGAGAGTTTAGGTACTTGTGAAAGAGTAACTGAAGTTATAGACCTAGGACTGTAGGCTGGATGGGGAAAGAATTTTATTAAGAAAGAGGTTGATGGATCTGAAGAAAACTGAGGGATTAATTGACTGGAGGTTCACATGAGGTTGAAGAACAATTGTAGTGAAGTGCCTGAGCAAAATCTCTGGAAGAATAAGAGATTGTAGCTGGGCACAGTGGCTCCCACCTGTAATCTCAGAACTTTGGAAGGCCAAGGTAGGCAGATCATTTGGGGTCAGGAGTTTGAGACCAGCCTGGCCAACATGGTGAAACCTCGTCTCTATTAAAAATATAAAAATTAGCTGGGCATGGTGGCACATGCCTGTAATCCCAGCTACTCAGGAGGCTGAGGCAGGGGAATCGCTTGAACCCGGGAGGTGGAGGTTGCAGTGAGCCGAGATCACGCCACTGCACTCCAGCCTGGATAGCAGAGCAAGACTCCATCTCGAAAACAGAATAAAAATAAAAAAATAAGAGGTTGTGATCAGAGAATGAGCTGTTTGAACTTCAGATGTTAGAGGTAGGATCATCCAGAGTATGATGATAGTGGTGGGTGACTACAGTAGTGAAGTAAAAGGACATTAATAATGAAGAAGCCAAGAAATGCTTGAGTGCTATTTAGTCCTCTCAGTGGTCCATTGAGAAAGGACTCTTATGCTGATTTTACAGATGAGGAAGCTAAAGTTTAGAAACTGAGTTATAGGATGGATGCAGTGACTCACGCCTGTAATCCCAGCACTTTGGGAGGCCAAGGTAGGTGGATCACCTGAGGTCAGGAGTTCAAGACTAGCCTGGTCAGCATGGTGAAACCCTGTCTCTACTAAAAATACAAAAATTAGCTGGGCATGGTGTCACATGCCTGTAGTCCCAGCTACTCAGGAGGCTGAGGCAAGAGAATCGCTTGAACCCGGGAAGCAGAGGCTACAATGAGCCGAGATTATGCCACTGCACTCCAGCCTGGGCAACAGAGCGAGTCTGTCTCAAAAAAAAAAAAAAAAAGAAAGAAAAGAAACTGAGTTTTATAGCATATTGAAGGTCACACAGAAAGCTAGTACTTAAATCCATTCTTCTCTGATACTATGGCCATTTTAAAATTAGTATGGAAGCAATAAATATTCATTGATAATTAGGTTTTCTTTTTCTGTTTTGAGACAGGATTTCACTCTGTCACCCATACTTGAGTGCAGTGGGACGATCTTGGCTCATTGTACCCTCTGCCTCCCGTGCTCCAGCGATCCTCCCACCTTAGCCCCCCAAGTAACTGGGACTACAGGCACATGCCACCACACCCGGCTAATTTGTGTATTTTTACTGGAGACAAGGTTTCACCATGCTGCCCAGGCTGGTCTCAAATTCCTGGTCTCAAGTTATCCATCTGCCCCGGCCTCCCAAAGAGCTGGGATTACAAACGTGAGCCACTTCGCCTGGCTGATAATTAGTTCTTCATTGACTTAAAGAGATGAATATATTTGAGTTAACATATAAGAATTACATGAGAATGATTCACATTCCCAACAATTAGTTTAAATTTGAGATATTAAGAAAACAGTTTTAATTTTTATTCATTTATACCAAAATGAGTTATTGAAATAAATTTAATGCTGTTATCATTAAAGACCAATTTTTCCAGGTATTGTCCTAGTTACTAGGGCTACAAAAGGTGAATTAAGTTTGATGTTAATTGAGAAGCTCCTTAGATTTCACACATCTAGAGAAGCTTAGTATAGTCCAGCATTATAGTACAGAGAACAGACTAGATTCAAGTTACAGATATAGTGTATTTCAAGGTAAAAAAAATATGTATATATAGTTGTGCGTCTGTATCTATGGGTTCTGTATCCATGGCTTCAACAAACCACTGATAAAAAATGTATTTTTAATTGGATGTGTACCAAACATGTACATATATTTTTTCCTTCTTGTAATCTAGAGATGATTTAAAGTATATTGGAGGACTTCTACCTTGTATTGTGTATTATAGGTAATCCAGAGAGGATTTAAAGTTTGTGGGAGGATATGCTTAGATTATATGCAAATACTATGCCATTTTATATCAGGAACTGAGCATCTGCAGATTTTTATTTCTGGCGGAGGTCCTGTAACCAGTCTCCCATGGATATGGAGGGAGAATCCCATTCTAGATCTACCAAATTAAAATTAATGGAGGTTAAACCTAGGAATCTATATTTTCTTAAACATCCCTTAGAGATTCTCATTATCTGCCAGGTTCTGCAAATAGTGGGCTACATCAGCAGTCCCCAGCCTTTTTGGCATCAAGGACCGGTTTTGTGGAACACAATTTTTCCACAGACCCAGGGTGGAGAGTTGGGGGGATGGTTTTGAGATGAAACTCTTCCACCTCTGATCATCAGGCATTAGATTCTCATAAGGAGCATGCAACTTAGATCCTAGAATCTAATGCCTCTGCTGATCTAACATGAGGTAGAGCTCACGCAGTAAGGCTTGCTTGCCCCATGCTCACCTCCTGCTGTGCAGCCCAGTTCCTAACAAGGTACAGACTGGTAGGGTCAGGGACCCTTGGGCTAGATGACTTACTGAAGTCCTTTGCAACTTTGAAATTAGTTCCTATTTTAGTTCTGATAGAAAGGGTTGTAATAAAGTATTTTTATGACTTCAGAGAAGCCATAAAAATTATTTTGTTTTAATAGTTTCTTTAATATAATTTAGGAAATTCACCAGGAGAATCAATTACCACCAAAGTGGAAACAAATCAGACAGGGGGTTCTTTGTCTCCTGAGCCAACCCACTTGCTCTCCTCACTCTCCTCATTTCAGCCCAAAATATTTACACAACTGCAGGTAGGTATCCAGTAAAATATCCAGATTTGAGGTCCTTCTCTTTATTCCTCACTTCACCTCTTCTTCTAGGGATTTTAGAGAATTGTTACAGAATTATAATAATGATCAAATATGTTTTCATTGTTAATTTCCTGATCTTTTTGTTTCTTGATTTAAGATAACTCAAACAGTATGTTTTTAAAAAGTTTAAGGTTGACTATGAATGCAATAAATTTAGTTGTACTACTTTTCCCTTGATTCTTGTTTCTTTCTTCATTTAATATTTATTCGTAACCATACTCTTTATTTGTTTGGATTTTTTGTCAAAAGAATAGTATATCCTATGAGAATATCATACATGGTAAATTCAAACATTTTGATGTAACTCTTTTTGGTTTAAAAGGGTTTGCAGTTACAACCAAGGTTCACCTCTCCTGATGAATCACCAGCTCTGATATCAGTAAATAACCAGCCATCCTCTAGTCCTTCAGGACTTCTGGATCCAATAGGAAGTGCTGTAATGAATAATAATTCTCTACTGCTTGGTCAAAGTCATAGCCTTCAAAGAGATACATGCCTAACCCAAAACAATGGTACTGCCTCCACCATGGGTAACCTTCCAGAACCAGATCAAAATCTAGTTGCAATGGACCAGCTGGTAGAAGTTGGAGGTGTTGAGGATACAGGGAATCTGGAAGGAACTGTTCATCGAATTCTGTTGGGAGATGTGCAGACTATTCCAATACAGATTATAGACAACCACTCAGCTCTTAGTAAGTTGAAATCAATTTATGATGTTATTGTTGTAACCTTTGTGGATTATCAACACTGTATTATACTATAAATAAAACTATTATTTCTTCCCAGTGGGTCTCTGATATTATATAAGTGAAGCAAAATTATGAGAGAGAAGGAGGAGATTTCATTAGCCTGAGTTTTAGAACTTTTAAGCTTAAATTTTTTTCTTCTCCTTATTTCTAATTATTTAATGCCATAGAAATTACTGTTCCCTAATTACCTGTTTTCCATGGAAAATCTGTGGTAATGTGAAACCAGGAAGGTCATTTTAGAGTACATGAAAAAAAATAGGAAAAAATTAAACAAGGAAAAATATTTTCATGCAAAGGTTATTATGGAAGAATTGATATATGCACACATACACAAAGAAGAGTGAAATGAAGTACGCATATATAAAGGTTAAAAGGAAGATTTTCATTTTTGGTTTTTTGTTGTTTTGAGACAGAGTCTCATTGTGTCACCCAGGCTGTAGTGCAATGATGCAATCACAGGTCACTGCAGCCTTGATCTCCTTGATTCAAGCGATCTTTCCACCTCAGCTTCCCAAGTAGCTGGGACCATAGGCACATGCCACCATAATGGGCAAATTATTTTATTTTTTTTTTTTTTTAAAGGGATGGGGGCTCACTACGTTGCCCAGGCTGGTCTCGAACTCCTGGGCTCAAGCAGTCCTCCCACCTCAGCCTCCCAAAGTGCTGGGATTACAGGAGTGAGCCACTGCACCTGGCTGAAAGGAAGATTTGGAATTACAAAGTAAATGTTGAGTTGAAAGGGAACTAGTAAGACTTGGGCATTTAGGTTTAACCTAAGACCTTGTTACCTTCACTTTATTACTAATCTCTGTCAACATAGAGGTAAACTCTGTTAACTCCTACTTTATCTGTTACTTCTTTGCACACAAATTGTTCTGGATTGGGCACTTTTGTGGGAAAAGATTTGCAGTTTGCTTTGAAAAAAGTTTTCACAGAAGTTGTTTTTAGAATATAAAATATTTTCCCCTCTCTTCCAGTGTCATGAAATATATTAACTTTTAGGATTTTTCTGTTTGTTTTTAAAGTTGAAGAAAATCCAGAAGGTACCATTTCTGTGAACCAAGTTAAGCAAGAACCCAAAGAACCAGCATTGTCTATGGAAGCAAAAAAAAATTGTGGACTATAAGAAATTATCTGCTATATAAATTATTGAAGCTTTTCAGAATTTACAACTCTGGTGACTTCTGATGTCTTAGAAAAGAAGGTGAATATAGTCAAAGCGTGGCATTGAGATAATTGGACTGAAGACCAGTTTGATGAGAAGCTTTTATTTAAAACTGATGTATTTGTTGCCAGTTCCATATTTTTACCTTCCTTAAGAGATGTTTTACTCTTCTTATTTTGTATAATTTTTATGCTCTTTGATTATCTAATAAGGCCAGTATTTCAAAAGCTCTTTTGAACTTATCCACAGTAATACAGTCTGAACACAAATAGTTTAGTTAACTTCTCCTTGGAAATACTCAATTTTGGTTCTTACAAAACAGAAAAGATCAACAGCAACAGCACCATTGTGTGAATGTATGTTTGTATGTGTGTATGTATATCATGAATTTTTTTAAGTTCTGAAGGAACTTGTTCTCTCTTTAAAGTTGTGAAGAAATTTTTAATTGCCAGACAGGTAAGAAAATGTTTATAATCTATCTCATTAAGAAAGATGAAGTATTCGGTTTTACATCATAACACAAAGTCCAGCAGCTATATCTGCGGAGACTGTGCAGTTGCATTTTAGCCACTTCCCTTCTAATTTTTGTACTTTTAACTACAAACCAATAGTATATTAGTGGTTATCTAATAGAAATTTAAAGTGTCTTGGTAAGTACTGAGGATTTTTACTTGAATTAATCAGATAAGCAACAGAAATCAACATATGTAGCATGGCTTTGTGCTAAATTGGAAGTAAAATACTATAGGTAGAAAGATGTAGAAATTGAGAGAATTGAAAAAGAATAATAGAATTCCTTGGTGTTTACAGATAATTTGGGAAACTTTTTGATGACAGCAGAGGATTTTTTTTTCCCCTTATTTTGTAATGAAGATCCAACGCTGGTTAAAAAATAATTTGATTTGTAGTTACATTTTTCTATGCCAGAGCTCTTACTGAATTGATGGGGTATTAGGATTTCTAGTATTTTAAGGTAAGTATTTATAGTTTAAAATTTAGTTTATATTTAAAACTTCAAAACATCTGATCTGGGATATTTTCTTTGTTAAGTAAGTATATTAACTTCAAATACCAAATAAGTACTAAGCAGTATATTCATTATAAGCATCTGTTGTCTAAAGATTGGTACTAGGCTGGACATGGTGGCTCATGCCTGTAATCACAGCACTTTGGGAGGCCTAGGTGGGTAGACCACCTGAGGTCAGGAGTTCAAGACCAGCCTGGCCAACACAGTGAAACCTCATTTCTACTAAAAATACAAAAATTAACTGGGTGTGGTGGTGGGCGCCTGTAATCCCAGCTACTTGGGAGGCTAAGGCAGGAGAATTGCTTGAACACTGGAGGCGGAGGTTGCAATGAGCCAAAATCGCACCATTGCACTCCAGCCTGGGCAACAAGAGAGAAACTCCATCTCAAAAAAAAAAAAAAAAGATTGGTAAACTAGAAATATCAACTATAATTTCAGGAAATTAACCTAAAGGCTTTTGTTTCTCCAGAGACCATTTGTGGGTATATTTTATATTTTAAAAATAAAGATTTTAAATGGATATCAATGTTTAATATTCAAAGCATGCACAATATAATATCAAATTTAACCTTAATACTTTACATGAATATGAGTCACTTTTGGCTTTTCTAAGTCCAGCCTCCCATTCTTAATTGATTTTGTTTCAGGTACATGACATGTATCTAAATATAAAGTACTGTTATAGTAGAGGTAGGTGGAATTCTAATATTCGTTGCTCTTTAGATTTATATTTTATTTAATGTAAAGTTTATTATTTATACCCTTTTTAATGCAAAGCTAATATTTAGTTATGTATGATTTTTAATAAAAATTACTTTTCTTTTTCCTATGAATTGAAAATATTTGATGTTGGCATTTTATACAGGCAGGTTGCCAAATTTGATTATGTTACACTAAGTTAAACACAACTCTTAATTACCTCAAATCCAGATTTCTCTTAGTCTGTGTGTATATAAAAGGAATAAGTCCAAATTAATTTATAGTTTAGTGTTGCACTGTAGGTAATATTCTTTTCATTTGTTGTTTCTAGTTTTTATGGAATCCTTTTCTTTCAAGATTCTAAATAATAAATCTTTACCTCTCAATAGTGATAATAGTGGTAATGGTTTATTATTAGCTATTTCACCAATTGAACTCAGTCTTTTGGAGGCATTCCTTTCTTTTTTGATGTTGAGCTGCTAAGGAGAAGTGCTTGTTAATATACAAATTCTAGTCAGTTACCTGTGAGGATGAGACGTGCCAGAGGACTCAAACTTTGGTATAGTTAGAAAAATAATATTTTTCTCACTTCATTCTATGTGAATGTCTCTTCTGATACTGTTTTTTAATCAGACAGAAAGTTACAGAGCAACTTTCCCACAAATAAACCAAAAAACAAAACCCCACAAAAACCAAGAGCATGAAGAAAAGTTTAAATCCCTAATTATATACTCTTTTGGTTTTTAGGTAGAAACTGGAGCTATCAATATTTTCATGTAAGTATTTCAATGAGTAGCTCTTTAAAAATGGTTTTTAAATGAGATTTTAAAAATCCATTGTCATCTAAATGCATGTTTAGTCACAGTGTATCAGTATTGTGTTTAAAGGTGCTCAGCATCACTTTTTGAAAACTATGTTTACATACTTAAAATGTTTAATTATTTTGAAGTGTATAGAGTATTAAATACAAGCTCCTAAAATTTTCAGTATCTATATTGGCTTTCTCTAACAGCTCTACAGCAAAGTTTGACATTTTTTGTGTGTGTGTCATGTATTGTAAGGTGTAATATCTGTAGGCGTGAGTTAGACATTCAAAATTAGCAGTAAGAAATTCACAATTACAGCTCAGCTTATTTATTCATTATCGTTTTCACATTCCCAACTTCCAAGTGAACTTTGTGTATACTACAGTGAATTATAGATAAACACAGCCATGGTGGATCTTTCCCTCAATAGGGATTTTCTGTACAAACAATTAGTAGACTTAAAAGGAAAAGCTTTTATATCTTATGCAAGGTAAATGTTTCCTAAATGTCACAAAAGTGATAGAAAACATAGCTTTTTGGATCTGGTCCTGCATTAGAGTTTCTAATTCTGAGGCCCACCAGCTTGTGTTTCGTCTTCTTTATATCCTGTCAGAATACATACTTAATCATGTGGGTATTAGAAAGATGTTGTTTAACTTGTACCAGGTTTAAAAAAAGAGGTTTAAAAAATGTGTGTGCATATGTATATATATATAGCAACTTGATGTATAGTGTCCTTGTTATCATGTATTTTTTTCATTAAAAATCCTTTTTTTTTTATCATGTATTTTTTTCATTAAAAATCCTTTTTTTTTCTTACACTTGTTAGTTTTCTTTTTATATTTTTCTTAGAGATAGTGGCAATTTTGTTCATCTTGAAGATGCTGAATAAACACTTGAATACCTGAGAATTTTGGCCAGAGATTTATGTCCAGTTTGGAAGCTGAAAGTTTTAAGCGTAACTACCAGTAACTCCTGTTAGCATTACGTTTTGGGGAGATATATATGCATTTAATACCCTGCAACTCAGGCAAGCATCAACATTTTAAAACAATGTGTGTAATAAGTAATTATTTCCGCCTCCCCCCCGCCCCCACCATGTTTTGGCACCATGACATTTTCAAGTACAGCTTTATATTTTAGGAGTAATGACAAAGTATGTGATCAAAAGTGAAGGGATTATTAATTTTTCCCTCTTTGCTTTTTTTAAAACTTTTTTCCACTCTGTACCTGTTTTTGAGCACCTTGGAAATCTTAATCTCTCCAGAAGGGATACTGCATTGGCTCTTCTCCGTCAGCTGGCTTAGACATCAAACATTTTAAATGATACACTGTTTTAATATCTAAGAATCTATCTTTCTACTTAATTAACTTAGTCATAAGGACAAAGCCTTAGTATACTTTTGCCACATACATGTTATGTATGAATTTTACTGTTGAATAATACAAGTATTCATTACTGACTGAATTCTTAAAACTTTGGGAATAGAAAAAACTCATTTATTAATGGATGCTAAAGTGATTCCTGAGAAAAATAAATAATTTGTATGGTTAATATGGAAAACCTTTGGTAATGTGATATGGGTATAAGAATACTAAAACCCAGAGTACAGAGTGTGAATCATGTACCAGGAGGGATTTTATTTTTAAATATCTTGAGGTATAATTGAAATACAATAAACTGTACATATTAAAATACCCAATCTGATAAGTTTTGTCATATGTATACAGCCACGAAGTCATCACCATAAGAAAGGTAATGAACATATTCATCACTCTCAAAGTTTCATAGTACCTCTTTGTGATCCATTCTTTCTTAATCCTCCTTGCCCCTGACCCCACCATCACCAGACCACTGATCTGCTTTCTTTAAGATCAGTTTGCTACAAATGAAATCATATAATATATAGTATGATCCTTTTTTGGTCTGGCTTTTGTCACTCAGCATAGTAATTTTGTAATTTGTCTATATTGTAGCATTTATGAATAAATCATTTATTTGCTGCTGAGTAGTATTACATTTTATGAATATATCATAATTTGTTTATTCTTTTGATGATAGACATTAATAGTTCTAGGCTATTATGAATAAAGTTTCCATGAACATCTGTGTACAAGTCTTTGTATAAACTTATGCTTTCATTTCTCTTGGGTAAATATCTAGGAGTAGAATACCTGAGTCATATGTTAGGTATATATTTAACTTTTTAACAAACTGCCAAATGATTTTCCAAAGTGATTGTGACAATTTATATTCCCACCGACAGTGTATGAAAGTTCCAGGTTCTCTATATCCTAGCCAACACTTGTTATGAACAGTTTTTAGGTTTTAGAGATTTTAATAGGTGGGTAGTAGTATCTTACTGTGGTTTTAATTTCCATTTCTCTAATAACTGACCACTACTGAGCATCTTTTCATGTTGTATTTGCCATCTCTATCTCTGTATCTTCTTTATTGATGTGTCTGAATCTTTTGCCCACCTTTTTTTAAAAAAAAAAAAAAAGACCGGGTCTTGCTCTGTCACCCAGGCTGGAGTGCAGTGGTGTGATCTCAGGTCACTGTAACCTCCGCCTCCCAGGCTCAAGTAATCCTCCTACCTCAGCCTCCCTAGTAGATGGGATTACAGTCATGCACACCATGCCTGGCTAATTTTTTGTAGAGATGGAGTTTCACCATGTTACCCAGGCTAGTCTCAAACTCCTGGGCTCAAGCAATCCACCTACCTTGGCCTCCCACAGTGCTGGGATTACAGGCACAAGCTATCGTGCCCAGCCTCGCCTACTTTTATTTTTGTTTTCTTATTTGTTTTTTATTCTTTTTTTTTTTTAACCACAACCAGCATCATAGCTCACCCACTTTTAAATTGTTTTTTTTTTTTT